ACTAAGTACCTACAGTAGAATGAATAAATTACAGCATATTTATATATCAGAATACAACACAACAATGAAACAAACTACAATTACATGCATGCATGAACATGGCCGAATCATAAAAACATAAAGCTGAAAAAAAGCAAGTCAGAAAATTATAGTCAGGAGATTCGATTTATATAAAGGTTAAAACACCCATAACAGATACATACATAAGCCCAGTACCTAGCTCATCAATATCTGTTGAATGACTGAAAGAAAAGTAAAAGAATAGCCAGCACACCATTCAGGACAGTACTAACTTCTGGGAGAAGGGATGAAGATGCAATCATGAAAATGAAACCAGGAAACTTAAAATGTACAGAAGGTCTACACCAATAAGATGTGATGAATTGTTCCCAATAATCTCACCAACAGTTATTTGACAAAACTTTTGGAATTCATGAAAACTGAGTATAGTTTCAATTGGCATTATTAATGTTACGCATAAGGTTATCAACTTTCTATATTTTATAGTTATCTGTATATTCTCTTATATGAACTATTAAACACCTTGCTGACTGGTCATTATGGAAAAGTAGCCGGCCGCAAGGGTGAGTTCTGGCTCGAAATAGCCAGTGAGTAAGGTGTTTAAACATGCTCTGTACTAGACTGTTCTCTTACTTACTGATTTCCAGCTCATTATTTAACACAGAAATAAGTACTCTGACTCTTTATGAATGACAATTAGATTTTCAAAGTGTACTTTTAAAAAAGGTACTAAGAACATTATTTGTTTTATTTCCTTTTAAAATGTATGCAGTTAATCTTTTATATATTTCATGAATAAAAAAATTTTACAAGTAAAAGAATCTATTGCCACAGCCCATTTTCTTTTAAGGGAGATAAGTAATCTTGGAAGAAACCTAGACATTTTCATAATTATTGAAGGTTTTAATTTTTTATGAACTGAGACATCAATGCCTGAGGACAACTCTTTCAACCATATGTCAGAAAAAGAACTGCCTAACACATTAGGACCTGAATTCTAAATTATTTAAAATAACTTACACCTTTTCTTCCATACAATTAATACGCTAGGTTTTTAAGTAACTTAAGAGAACACTTCCAATTTGCTGGACTGGCCATGTCTGTAGTTTTTAAACTGGACTTTTTATCCTAATTCCTCAAATACTCTACTCTTCACACACATTCCTTAAATCTCAAAATAGAACTTCTAAAAATTAGCTTGTTGAGCCAAGATAATCAAAATCATTATCAAAACTTCAGTAACTTCAGAGGTAGACAAGGAAATGGAAAAAAAGGCACTCCTTTTGCCAGTTTCAAGACAAAATGGAATTAAAAAAAAAAAAGACAAAAAGGAATCTCACAGGTGGTTCATTCTCATTGTTTTGTTTAAGTACATCACAGTGCTATTTTAAACCTCCATTCCACTCCCTCCCCCCTTTTTAACACAAAGTACCACTATGTAGCTATTAAAACTAAGAAATTATTTCAAGTTTTACCTTCCTAAGAATGTAAAGCTACCATTCATTAGGGACACTTTATTCTTTCAATTGCTTTATAAAACCAATCCTGTTTTTACCCTCTTTAACTTTTGAAAGAAGGCAGAAAGGGCTCTGAGATTTTCTTTCATTTCTAAAAGGTCTTTGCTCTTCTGTACTGGATCACTTGAACAAAAAAGTGGCACTGCCAGAAAAACAGACTCTCATAGAAAAGGGCTGCATATAGGTATTTACCATAGAACAAACTAAATTTAATGAAAAGGAATTTATCTATAGACATGAACAAAGCTGAGTTAAAGTTGGCAAGATAGAGCTGGTGCCTCATCTAAAAGACTAGAGGTCTAAGAAGAGATTTTTAACAACTGTGAATCAGTAGACAAAAGGACACTAGGATCAAAGGCCAGACAAAGAAAATACAGTAGTCTTCCCATTATAGCTTCAGTGACACGCTTGCCAACCAAGGTCCAAAAATATGAAATAAAAAATTCTAGAAATAAACAATTCATAAGTTTTAAATTGGATGCCGTTCTCTAAGTAGCATGATGAAATCTCCTACCATCCCATCTAGATGGTGAATCATCCCTTTGTCCAGTGTAACCACTGTGCATACACTACTGCCTGTTAGTAACCATCTCAGTTATCAGATAAACTGTAGAGGTATCACAATGCTTGTATTCAAGTAACCCTTATTTTACTTAAAAATGGCCACAATGCACAAAAGTAGTGCTCCTTGCAATTCCGATGTGCCTAGAGAAGCCATAAAATACTTCCTTTAAGTGAAAAGGTGAGTATAGTACAATAAAATATCTTGAGAGAGACCACAGTTACATAACTTTTATTGTAGCATTTTCATAGATGTTCTATTTTATTATTAGTTGTTGTTAATCTCTTACTGTGCCAATTCATAAATTAAACTTTATCACAGGTATGTACATACAGGAAAAAACAGTATATATATATAGGGTTTGGTATTATCATTGGTTTCAGGCATCCACTGGAGGGTCTTGGAACATATCGCCTGTGAATAAGGGTACTGTAGTTTAGCAGACTAACATTTTAACCAGTAAAATAGAATGAAGGACTAAGAAGATAATAGATATTCAGAATGATTCATTCAGTTGATACTTAATATAAATTTTCTGGGAACATGTCTATATATGAGATAGCATGGATTAGAGTTATGAAATAGTAAGATATATAATATGTGCTTTTTCAAGAATGCTGAATGCAGTACAAAGGGTTAAGTTCACTAGATTCAATAAGTAAATTATTCACTTATCACTGATCTGTTCTCTATCAATCTTAAAAGGAGGAAAACGACTGTTCTGATTGATGTTAAAAGAAACAATGGTTATTCCTAGAGACAAAAATAACTGATTATAATCAGTATAAAAATATGAATTTCATACTTCATGAACCTAAGGTTATCAAAAATGACAACTATTTCATAATATTTTTTTAGTAAGGAACAGACCTGACTCTATTCCAACTCTAGTTGGACGGCTATTTTAACTATATTTATAGAAAATAAGATATAGCACATACAGAATTAGGCAAAATATCCCAACAGTTAAATTTCAAATGGCTTGGGTTAATTCTCAAGAAAATATTTTTCCACTTCATACATAATTTTAAAAATCCAAAATATCCTACAGAGAAACTAAAAACTAAGACTTCACCATTCATATAATTATCTAATTTATAAAGGGTTAACTGTATAAGGGAGCCTAATACCATTTCTGTCATTTCAATCAATAATGTCAGCATTCTTTTCACCCTTAATCAAGTTTCATTTTTAATGCTTCATTATATGACAAAGGCAAATGCAAACAAAACATGTTCATGGACACTCAATTTTTGAAGGAGAAAACCAAAATATATGAAAGTGTATACTTTATATGCTTTGATTTAATGTCCATTCCTCAAGAGCATAGAATAAAATGTTTAACCAATACAGTATGTCTGTATTTAGTCCTCTGAATTCAAAATAAACCCCTCTTCCTATGCTATGCTATAAGAGAAAATTATACAAATTTCAGTACTTATATAAACTGAGTATGACTTACATCCCAAACTAACTGAGATAAGATTATCAGTGGAGCATGCATTTTGGATTAATACATTTTATTTAGAATAATTATACTCACTAGGAATAGTTCATTTTTACTGTTACAATGTTTTCCCTCTTACAATCATATAATATGCTATTTTAATGCTATTTTATCTACTCTATTAATACCTGATATGGGATATTCCAGCTAAGGTTAAGGTTTACTCTATTAAGTCATTCTTTTAAAAAAAGACAACAGAAAAAAACTAATATTAATTTGAAATGTCTCTTCTAAAAAAATTTTAGAGTTTTATAGAAAATTAAAGGTAAATATAAAAACAAAACATTCCCCCATAAGTTTGTTAAAATGATGGCAGCATGTTGAAATCCTGAAGCTCAATTCATTACCAAAAAACCACTTTTTGCTTGCAAGAGAAAGTATAGTCATATTTTCAAAATTACACTAAAACCTGACTTATATTGTAACTTAAATGGTATTTAAAAGGCTCAGAATACCTCAATACTGAGTGTTAATGCTACATTTAAAAAAAAAAAATCACTCACCTTTCAAACCTAGAGTTTGTAGCTGGAAGAGCCGACCAAGTTCATAAGGCAAAACCCGTAACAGATTGTTATTTAAAAGCAATTCCCTGTTTTTTTTAAAAAAAAAAATGTTTTAGTTGAATTTATCAAGCATTATTAACATCTACGATTATTTTCTTAGCCTTCCCTCTAACATACCATGAGTGATGTATACATTCAAGGCACATTTTTATATGCTTATCTAAAACTGTTAATATTAAAGTACTCCAAACTGTGTAACTGCCACAACTTTTAACAGTATTTCTATAATTTACTTTTTCTAGCACAGACTATTAAAGGTGTAGAAATTGTATATCATTTTCAGGCCTAATCTACTCCCTTTTCTCTCTCATCCTAATACCTATCAGATCAGAGTGACAGATATTCTTAGTGTTCAAAGACAACAGATACCCCTGAACCTAGCCTAATTCACAAAAAAAGTAAAATATTTACAAAGTTCAGGATTTAACTATAATTAATAGCCAATCACCTATATCAGTTTTTATTACTGATTACAACCATAATCACATCAAGATACTGTGATGAACAATCAGTGACATAGAACATAAACATTAAAAGTAAAAACATAGGAGCCCTGGCCAGGTAGCTCAGTTGGTTGGAACATTGTCCCAATAAGACAAGGTTGCAGATTCAATCCCTGGCCAGGGTACACACAAGAATCAACAAATGAATGCATAAGTAAGTAAAACAACAAATCAATGTTTCTTTCTCTCTCTCTTCCCCCCTCTCTCTCTCTAAAAATCAATAAATAAAATTTAAAAATAAAAATAAAACATTAGGATAGTATAAATAATATAATAGCATAGGTAAGGTCTGAGTTTATGATCGTAAAATTTTGTGCAGACTATAGGAAAAATAAACAGCCCTCTTATTTAATAACTAAAAGGTACTTTTTAAAAATAGAAAACCAACAAAGACATATAGTAAGAGGATAGTGAGAAACCAGATTTTAAAACCATATGTTTAAACAGGACAAAATTTTTTTTAATTACTACTCAGCATATAAACAATATAGAAAAACAATCCTTGTTTGTATTAAGAACATTTATACAAGGTCTTTAGATTTCTACAAAATTTTCTCCTATGAAGAAATTCTTAAAGAACTCTGAAAAACTAGAAATAAATCCATTTATCAAGTTTTAAGTTTTCCTTAAGGAGTTGTAATATATAAGTATTATTTAAAACAGATATATTCCTAAAAGTTTTACTAATAAGCACATTATGTTTTCCCAATTATTTCTGATTATATTCTTATGATCATACACTTGAGCTAAAGTCAGACTTAGTATTGTAGTTCCACCCCACCTCAAGTCTGTCAAAAGAGCGTCGAAAAACAAGCACACTTCTAGTCAGAAACCGCCAAATTTAAAGGAAAAGAAAAGTTCAAGGGAGGCCAACTTAAGCACTGTGATCAACTCATATCATTTGATCTTGGAAGCACATATGGAAATCCTATTGTAAGATAAGTAACATTCCATAGTTTTCTAATTTGGTAAATTTAGAATTTCATATAGTGAGTCATATCTATAATATTTCCTCACCTGAGAGACACCATGTTTCCTAGTTCTGCTGGTAAACTTCTGAGTTTATTGGATGACAGATCCAGGTAAACCAGATTATGAAGCTTGGCAATATCAGGTGGAATGCGACTAAGAAAATTGTCATTTAGGTGCAGCGCTGTCAAGTGTGTCAATGACCAAAGTGATGTACTTAAGCTCCGCACTCTACCTAAAAGGCAAAATATTGAAGCATTAAACTCTAGGCCCAAGACAAAGACTGAACTACAAGAACTAAAAAGTGGTAGAAGAGCCTGCAAACTTATACAGATATTGTATCTTTGACATTTTAATTTTGTATTTAATGCCATTTGCCTGCTTTTCCAAACACACCTGGCCCTTCTTTAATTTCAGGCCACTTTCATCTGACAACCATTCTTTCTCATGGACGTTCCGTGTACTAAATGAGATGTGGAATAATGAGAAGACCCTTGGAATCAAGGTGATCCTATGGTCTCAAAGATAAAGCTTGGGCTAAATTGAGCTTTTGTGGTAGAATAATCATGATTTTTTTTTGAGTCATAGTCCTAACAAAGGTATTTCTCATATACTCAATAAAAAATAACAGTGCAAGGTTTATCCATATCTAGGGCCTGGATTAGTCTACAAACTTAAATAGATGAGTAATTACTATGATATAGAACCAACCTTTGATTAGTCACCAGAAAAACCATTTAACCCCCCAAAGAGACATCTTCCCGGCTTTCCAACGTTACAATTATACATTAACTCCAGTTTAATATTTCCACTAAGTAAACATACTCAAGGAAATCGTTACCCATTAAGTTTTACAAATCATTCAGCATCTTATACCTACGGTGGAACACATATTAGAAAGTCAGAAGACATAGTTCAGATTCCTGATTTTTGCCATTTATTAGCTACACAAGCCTGGGCAAATCACCTAGCCTCAGCTTCTATAAAATGTAGTAGTATGTTAATAATTTATATGAAGGTTATTTTATAAACTTTACAAAAGTAAAATGGTACTTTAATTACATATCACTTTTCAAACAATTGACTTTTATTTAAAAGCAGTAGAAAGTAGAGAGGGCACAAAAATCTCAAAAGGGAAATGCTACTTTTCATGTAGCTAATGAGCAGTAAATTCAAACTTAGATCTTCTGTCCAGAGTTCTTTCTACCATAGGTTCCTTCATGCTATCTATAATCAGGCTTAAAATGCCAACTAGGATTTTGCTTTTTAATAGGAAAACAAAACTTTCAAGAGGAACTTATTTCAGTTTTACCCAGGGTTTAATGGAGTGGATCTCAATCAGGGACAATTTTGCTCCCTGAGGGAGTTTGGCAATATGGAGACATTTTTGGTTGTCAAAACTAGAGGAGTGCTACTGGCATCTAGTGGGTAGAAGCCACGAATGCTGCTAAACATCCTACAGTGCACAACAGCCCTCAACCACAAAGTATTGTCTGGCTCTAAGTGACAGCAGTGCCAACTTGAGAAAACCTAGGTTAACCCAATATGATTTGCTCATATTCATTCTTCTCATTACCCATCCATCACCTATCCACCCAGTTCCCTTTTTAGCTAAATGTACAGGTGATTCTTGCTATTGACAATGTGGGTTTAACTCTTCCAAATGAAAGCCTACTAGGGAAAAACCACATTCTCTCTATATAATCTGTACTGTATCAATTCACAAAAGAAAAACTACTCACATTCTATTTTTAATAAAATTTTAACTTTATAATAATTTTAGATATACAGAAAAGTTGCCATAGTACTTTCATTAAAACTAGGAACTAACATTAGTACAGTACTATTCGGTAATTTAATTAGGTATTTTGTAGAACATCCTTCAGTTGAGTTTGTCTTACGTTTCTCACAACTAGACTGGGGTTATTAGTTTTTGGAAATCATATTCAATTTTAGCAAATCCTAAATATGTAAGATCATTAACACAGTTAATATATTTATTAGAACAAAGTTTCTAGACTTCCTACTCTGCTAACATTGGGATGATAGGGGTGGCAAAGATTTCAATTTGCAAAAATAATTATTCTGCAATAGCCAAAACAAAATCTATTATATCAAAAAACCTGATTTTACTTAGAAACTGAACTCCCGATGTCTTTAATTCTAGATGCCAACTCTGGCTCAAGGTATTATTCCCAAAAAGGATATGAGCAAATATATTTAGTTATAAATAAAACATTAGTAACAGATAAATTAAACATTAGTATCTCAGTGTATTATATTTTATTGACTAGTTCATCTAATTAAGAATATACAACAAAAAAATAAATATAACAATACTCAACCCTTATTCATTATTGCTATTATACGCTGAGTTAAATGATTCAGATTCCACTCACCCGAGATTTCTAATTCTGCCCAGTGAGATTTTTTCCCATTGGCTACCTCCTCTGCTGACATGATGGTATAAATTTTGCGAGGATCTGGAGGATCATATTTTTCCTTTGGCATCCCTATTAGTCTGAAAAAAGAAAAAATCATTAGCCTTATAGGAAAAAAAACAAAAACTGGGATAGTAAGTTTTCTTTTTGTCTCCCCTTGCCAGACTACTAAGTAATTTTATACTACAAATTTTCACTAGAAGAAAAATACCTCTGCAGTATACTAGGCTCTTACAGGAACTCAGTAAAAGATGGGTAGGGGAAAATTCAAACAAGAAATAACACTGAACTTCACAGCGAACACTGTGGTTGCTTCCCAATACATTCATTCTACCGATTCCCCTTCATTTAGCTGCCTTGCTTTCCAAGGCAGACTCACCCTACCCCAGTTTTCTGAATGGACTCTGACTAATCCAAGAGAATCAGGATACTCCCATCCTCCTTGCCTCAGAGATATCAAGATATCCCATATCAAAGAATCAGCATATGGCATTCTCCTAGTCACATAGATTAATTCAGAAGTATCTACAATACCGAGACTTAAAACTCTTATATGTTAATGGGAGAAGCAGGTCCCTCTCTCCTGCTGATCACCAATGAAGAGGAATATAACCCAAACTGCTACTGGTAGCCAACCAACAACTATAAGGGAATTCAGCCATAGAAGTCAGCCTAGGAAATAGAGAAAGCAAGCTGGATTCCTCACCAATCCATAACTTTAGCATTCCCAAGCTCTACGTTTTTTGGGTATGCAAGCCAATACATTTCACTTATTGTTTGAACTAGTTTGAGTTATGTTTTCTGTTACTTGCTATCAAAACCTTACTAATTAGTACAATCATATATATTGTGATTTGCATGGGCCTGTCTTGGTTTATATCTGTTGTTCTTAGATAATTATTAATATCAGTCCTTTTCACTCTCAAAAATATCTGATTTGAATGATGAGTTTCATGGCCACCCTAATTGAAACTAATATACAGTCTTCACATAATTAACAAAACAATCACTGAACAATCCAAAGTGATAACCAATGAGACATAAAACTCTAGTATGTATATATGAAACACATAACAAATGGCCCTAAAAGTAATCATTTCAGGGGGCCAACACAAGAATTACCAAATCTAACAATAGTAAATAGCAAAGTCCTGAATCTAATTAAACTCCCACATGCTATTAGTAAATTGCCTCATAGTATTTATAGTTGATTCTTTGCTCACATTTTAATACACACACACACAAACATATACACACCAAAACCAAGTGTCTATATCTGGGAGTGTTTCTAAGTAGAATTTAGAATTTATATCTAAATGGAAGAGTTACTTTCAGGTGGTCTGAAATTTGCTACACAGAGAGAGAAAAAATTACAGGTATTCTATCATGTTTCAAGAAATCAAAGCTAGTTTATAAGAGTACAATCAAAGTTTCCCATACCATAATTTGCCCTTTTATTTCTAAAGGTAAAACAGTCAATCTTTACCCCTTACTAAAAGGGGCAAAGAGAAAATTTTCCACATTTGTTCATCTGTTAACAGTAATTTGCTTCCAAGTTTCCATATTAAACCTTTCTGTTTTAATGTTATCATACAACTTGGGTGATACTAAATTATATTTTATTTCCCATAACTGTCCCAGATCTCCTAACAGCACTAAAGTATAGGATGGTTTTCCACATGGGAAAAAACTTGACTTCTACCACATTCAACCTCTGTAAAATACCTCTGAAAATAAAATTTTTAGATAACAAGGTTTTCAGAATTTCTACTATTCACCATAAAACACGTGTCTCTCTTTGGGTAGTTTTGTAAGGGTACAAAAGCACAAGATCAAAGCTAAATCAAACAGATCCAAATTCAAAGACATGCTACAAATCCATTACCTACGATGAGGATGGGTAAAAAACAGACTACAAAATTTGCAAAAACATGCTTCATTAATTTTAGATCCTTTTTATAAAGCATAAAGCAGCACAGGATTAGAGGTCAACTTAAATTTGGCTATTTTAATCACGGGCTCCCACTAGATGGTATGTTTCTTTTTTAAATTTATCTCTATTATAGAAAGTATTACAGATGTCCCTTTTTTTCCCATTGACTCCCCTGCACCCTGTTCCTACCCCTTCCCCAGGCCTTCACCGCACTATTGTCTGTCCATGGGTTATGCATATATGCATGTAAGTTCTTTGATTAATCTTTTTCCGAGCCCCTCCCTTCCCTCTGAAATTCATCAGTTTGTTTCAATGTCTCTGGATCTATTTTGCTCATTGGTTTATTTTGTTCCTTAGATTCCACATGTAAGCGAGATCATGTGATACTTGTTTTTCTCTGACTGGCTTATTTCACTTAGCATAATACCCTCCAAGTCCCTCCATGCTGTCTCAAAGAGTAAGAGATCCTTCTTTTTTACAGCTGCATAGTATTCCATAGATGGTATGTTTCTTAAGGGGACTATGAGTTATTTCTGTGTGGAGGAATATCCTTTTTATATCTCTATACAGTTCCTACCATATAATAGGCACTTAATATGTATTTATGGAATGTAATCCAAAAATCTACCACCTTTACTCGCCCTTCCCATCTCACAGCCAATTAACAGACAATGCTTTTCTAAAAATTAATCTCAAGAAATGGTAATAAAGCCACATGTTCCATTTCCCTAAATATTTTTAAAATATCTCTTGACCCTCTAATTCTAATATTGAAAGAGCTACTATATAAAACTATATATTTTTAAATATTTCACAAGTTTCCAACTTTGAGAGTCCATTAAAATTTACAAAATTTGTTTCTGCAAAACAGATCCATAAAATGTTTACCAATGTCTGCAATACATAAAAACCAAAATAATATTAATGCTGCCATATAAGGGCTGGTCTGAGGTCTCTTTTGCCGTTGATTAGGAAGCCAATAAAACTACGAGTTACTTAATTCCTCAAAGTCAATCTAAATTTGGATAGCCTAACTAAGCTAAAACATTTTTCATTTGGATTAACTAAGTAATTTCATAGAACCTATAGTTCCAGCAATCACTACTGTTTGAAACATGAGGTTTTCAAATGCACTAACTAAAAAACCCTGAGAAAGCAAATTTAGAAAACTGGTATTATTGAATCCTCCTACACAGCTTTGTTTTCCATCTCAGTTCCTCAGCATCAATCACCTTGGAGACATACCACAAAAACCTATTTTGAAATAACTTAAAGTATAAAATAATAATTCAAAGCTATTTTAAATCTCTAAATGTGACACTGATAATGTGGTTTCTCATACATAGGTCATCCCAAGGATTATGTACGAAGTGATAAACACTTTTTATCCAAGAAATAGAAATGTTTCATTTTGGAAAGCATAATAGCTACTTCCTTTCCCACCTTCTTTTTCAAATTGATTAAAAAAAAAAAAAAGGCAGTTTTGGGGATTTTTTTACCATTTAAAAAATGTTTTTTTAATACTGGGTAAAAATATACTCCCTTACCTTTGAAAAAAATAATAACTAGGAGGGCTTCAAGGCATTATTTTTATTATTATTTCTTTTATTTTTAATTAAAGTTTACATTCAATATTATTTTGTATCAGTTTCAGTTATACAGCATAGGGTCAGACAACTGTACACTTAAAGTAGTCCTCAATATTTCAAATACCCGCCTGGCACTGTACATAGTTATTACAATATTATTGGACTGTATTCCCTATGCTGTACTTTACATCTCTGTCACTACTTTGTGACTACCAATTTGTGCTTAATCCCTTCACCTTTTACACACAGCCCCCCCAACCCTCCTCCTCTCTGGCAACCACCAGTCTGATCTCTGTATCTATGGAGTCCGTTTCTATTGTGCTCATTTGTTTATTTGAAAGAGACAGATTTTTAAATTAGTTTTTACAAGAGTTTCTAATTTCTACATCTTACATCAGTTCCCAAAGGATCCTTCCATTACATCAATCTAATTTATACTGGAGATCCTGATCATGTAACAAAATAAACTAAAAGCCCCTTCTTGACACAACCTTTTACTTTTTTTTTGGTAGTTTTTTTAATTGAATTTATTGGGGTGACACTGGTTCACAAAATCATACAGATTTCAAGTGTACAACTCAACAGAACATCTGTACACTGGATTGTGTGCCCATAACCCCAAGCAAAGTCTCTTTCCATCCCCATTTTCCCCCTTTTGCCCACCTCCACCTAACCCCCACCTTCTTTCCCTCTGGCTATCACTACAATGTCAACTGTGTCTATGTGATATAGAGATATAGATATAGATATACACACACACACACACACACACACACACATNCTGGCTATCACTACAATGTCAACTGTGTCTATGTGATATAGAGATATAGATATAGATATACACACACACACACACACACACATATGGGATTTTTTTTTTGCTTAATCCCTTCACCTTCTTTCTTCCCAGTCCCCAAACCCCCCTACCCTCTGATGAGGGTTTGTCCCATGTATCCATGTTTCTGTTTCCATTTTGTTTGTCAGTTTATGTTGTTCATTAGATTCCACAATAAGTGAGATCATATGGTATTTGTCAACACAACCTTTTAAACTTCCCAGTCTCTGACCCCATTTCAACACTATGAGAAATACTCCACAAAGCTCCCCAAACACCAACTACATAAGCTTCTTTGAACCTACTCTCCTCCATTCCTTGGACCTTAGCCTATCACTTATATGCAGCCTTCCTAGATTCCAGTGCAAAATTTCTGTGAGTAACTGTCAGTCCTGGACACAATAACCTATTAACTCCTACTTATTAGTTCCTATACAAACTATCCTGAAAGTAAACAAGTTTTAATCTCCATCACAGGAGCCCTGAAAATTTTAAATTGGGAGTTTTCAAAACCAAAATAAAATACAAGATAACTACATAATATTTTGTTTCAATGAATAGCATATTACAAAATATATATGAAATACACCCAAATATACTATTAAGAAATCCTGCCCTAGCCAGTATTGCTCAGTGGTTAGAGGATTGGCGCGAGGACTAAAGGGCCCTGGGTTCGATTCCCGCACGGGATCATACCTCGGTTGCAGGCTCGATCCCTGGCCCTGGTTGCAAGAGGCAACCAAT